AACTCTGTGCCTTTTTATTGGTGAGTTCAGTCCAATTACATTTAGGGTGATAAATGAAATATGAGGTCTTCTTACAGCCATTTTATCTTTTGCTCTCTGGTAGCTTGGTGTTTCCATTGCTCCCTTGTCCTTGTGTTTCTTTTTTCTTTATTTTAATTGGCTTTTGTGGGTTTTGCCTCTGGTCTGTCTTTTTTTATGTTTATACTTCATTTCTAAATCTCCTTTGCGTAGTTACCATTATGAATATGAAAAGGATAGTTATATATATACAGTCGTCCATTTTCTTCTGCATGTGCCTTATCTCCATTCTCTTTTGCGAATTTGGATCTTTGAATCTTTCCCTTTTCAGTCATTGTTATCTCAACTTGTCCCTACGTATGCTGAATGTTCTTTGCTATCTTATTTAAGTTAATAATGCCCTGTTCATAGTAGGGGTTGCACTCCTCTGCTTCTATTTTCCTGATAGTCACCTTACTCCTAATTATGTTTGGGTTTTTTGTTTTTTTTTTTTTGTCATTTTGTTTTAGGTGAACTGACATCTTTCAGTATTTCCTGTAGTATGGGCCACATAGTAGAGAATTCCCTCAATTTTTATATGACTGGAAAGGTCTTAATTTCTCCTTCCTATCTAAAGGAGAGCTTAGCTGGATACATTATTCTAGGCTGGTAGTTCCTTTCACTTAATAGTTTAAATATTTGATTCCATTTCTTTCTGACTTGTAAGGTTTGTGCTGATAAATGTGACGATAATCTAATGGGTTTTCCTTTACAAGTTACCATTTTCTTCTCCCTGGCTGCCCTGAGAATTCTGTCTTTATTGTTGATTTTTGATAATTTTAATACAATGTGTCTTGGTGAGGCCTTTTTGGGTCTAGATAATTGGGTGTTCTGTTGACTTCTTGAATTCCAAGCTCCAATTCATTCCGTAGATTTGGGAAATTCTTGTCCACTATTCTTGAATTTCTCTTTCATTATTTTTCATTCTTCAGTTTCTCTCTTCTTCCTTCTGATTGATTTCTAGATTTCTGTCTTTGATATCACTGATCCGT